CCAGGCGGGTCTCGAACCCGTGGGCTCAGGCAATCCACTCACCTCAGCCTCCCAAAGGCGCAGGATTACAGGCTGAGCTACCGAGGCCGGCTTTTTTTGAACTCAGGTCATGGATCTTACGTTACATGGCCCGAGGTCACTTTCTCCAGGACGCACTGAGTTGCAAACCACAGCCCACGGCTGAACCCCTGAATGCCAGCGTAAAGTGGTGGCGGCAAGGGCGATTCTCCTCCAAGGTCGCTCTGAAGCCCATGGAGAGACCTCCCTCCACCTGTGAGGGGCCTGCGTTCCCCAGTTCACCCTCTGCTGTCCCTCCTCACCCATCCCATCACCCCCTTCCTGGGCCCCAACCCTGAGAAAACAAATTGGAGTGTCTAAGGCCAGGGAGGTGACTGTTGCTAAGCCCTGGGCGCCTGGACCAGGACCCCGGTAATGGAGTACAGCTCCCCGGGGCAGGGAGAAGGAAGGAAGGAATGAGCGTGGCCAGAGGGAGGCAGAAAGAAGGGGAGGCAGCGTAGGACAGAGCCCCCGCCGTTACCTCGTCGGTCTGGGACACCTGTCCGTCGGCCAAGGGCTCCAGCTCTGCAGTGGCCGGTGCAGACAGGATGCTGAAACACATGACAGTCACTCCTGAGTGTCGGCCCCCAGCATGCTGGCCACCTGACCTGTCCATGCTGGCAGAGCCACGCCAAGCGGCTTTCCAGAGAGAGGGAGGCCCGTGGGCAGGGAGCATGGAGGCCAGTGTGGTTTTATAATCCCGGGATGCAGGGCACGGTGGGAGGCCCAACCCAGGCCACTCTGCACAGCACCGTGGCACCGGGGGCTGGATAACGCCCTGCTGTGGGACGCGTTGCTGTCCCATGCTTGGCAGGGTATAAGGGCAGCCCTGACCCCAACCCACTGGGTACCGGGTGCACAGCCTGCGTGACAGCTAAACGCGTCTGCAATGTGGGCCAGTGTCTCCCGGGAACGGTCTCCCCAGCGAGGGTGAGCAAAGAGGGGTGGGACGTTCCCGCTGCAGGGGACGACCAAATGTGTCCCGGGGCCGGTGCAGGAACCATGGGCGGGGTTGACAGGCGCCCACCTGCGCAGGGCGGGGAGCCGGAAGCGCCGCTCGCAGAACTGGACAAAGGCTCGCAGGTCAGTCTTGCTGATCCCGCCGATGGGGTTGATGTCGGCACTGGAGCAGTCGTACTTGGTCAGGTAGCCCAGGAGGCTGGAGGGAGGGAGACAGAGAGGGAGTGGGAGGGAGGGGGAGGTGATGGAGAGCCAGGGACAGGGATGGGGTGGGGGGAGAATAAGGATGAGGACGAGAGCAAGAACGCAGTTCCGAGGGGGCTGCAGACCCCCAGCCTGGCTGGCCGAGGACACCCCCTCCACGAGCCCAGGAGCCAGTGTCACGGCCGACTCGAGGGCCCCAGAGCAGCCGCTGTGGCCAGAGCAAGTGCCGGGCACGCCAGAGGAGACACTCAGGCCGTGGCCCAGGTCTGGGATGCGCCAGCCTCAGCCAGGAGCCTCCTGTCTGAGAGGCTGAGGACGGGTGTGGATGGGGAGGGAGGCGGGACCTCTAACACGGGCGGCAGCAGGGCCCCTCCTGGCCCGCCAATGCCAACTCCTGTGGTCAGCAGAAGATGTCCCCAAGATCTGTCATCTCGCGGGGCCAAAGGGCCCTTGCAGATGGGGACGGTGGAGGGCTTGAGGCGGGAGGGGGTCCTGGCTCGCAGGGTGGGCCCGAAAGACAACCACAGGGGTCCTTAAAAGCAGAGGGGGTGACAGTGGGAGTCGGGGTACCATGACCACAGGGCAGGGGTGCTGAGATGCGAGGCCAGGCCGTGAAGATGAGCAGGGGCCACGGGCGGTGGGGCCCCAGAGCTGGAAAAGGTAGGAAACGGATTCTCCCCGGGACCCCCAGAGGGAGAAAGCTCTGCGCACCCCTTCACCCGAGCCCAGGGAGACCCACGGTGGAGCCAATACACAGAACTCTAGACAATATATTCATGTTGCTGAAGTCACTAACATTGTGGCCACTGGTTACGGCGGCCACAGGACACTCCTGCACCTCTTCCATGAACTGCTCCTCTCCCCCTACCCTGTCAACTCTGGCGCTGGCCACTGTGGTCTCCGGCTGGACCCCTGGATGGCTGCCCATCTCCCCCATGCTATACCAAGCCCGCCCGCCCCCAAGGCGAATCCTGGCCAGGCCCCTTCCCCAGCCTGAATCCCTCGATGGTGCCCTTGACCCTGGGAGGCCTTCCAGGCTGCCCCTGCCTGTTTCACAGGGTACGTCTTACACACCTTCCCCCCTCTCCTGACTCTCACTGTGCTGCAGCATTTGGGATATAAGATCCCCGGGGTCCGGACAGAGGGATATGTGAAGCACTGGGGCTGCCTCCCTGGACCTGGCTCCCGGAGTCTGTCCTCACCCTGTCACTCCCAGAGCTGTGCTGTCCAAGAGACCACGAGCACAAGCTGGGATTGACGGGCCACGCTGGCCAGAGGAGCTGCGGTGTCCATCCTTCCACTTTCCAGTCCCTTGTGACTATCCTTCGGTGGGGGAGTGTGGGTGTGCACACGTGTCAGTACAGGAGTGTACAGGACTATGAGTGCAAGAGTGTGAGTGTGTGACTGTGTGTGTGTGTGTGCACCATGTATGGATATGAGGGTGTGAGCTCAAAGTGTGTGATTGTGTGCACAAGTGTGCATAAGTGTGCATGAATGTGAATGCGTGTGCATGAATTGTGTGGGTGCACACATGAATATGAGGGTAAGAGTGTGAGTTCACAAGTATGTGTGCACGAATGTGTATGGATATGAGGGTAACAAGTGGGTGTGCAAATGTGTCTGTGTGCACACGTGTATGTGAATGTACATGCGTGCACACGTATGAATATGAGGGTAAGAGCGTGAGCTCATAGTATGTGAGTGTGCACAAGTGTGCATGAGTGTGCACATATGTGTGTGCGCGAATGTGTGCACACGTATGAATATGAGGGTAAGAATAAATGCACAAGTGTGAGTGTGAGGGTGTGTGCACAACTGTGCACAGGTATACAAGTGTGAGTGTGACAGCAAAATGGCACAAGGGTGTGGGTGTGCAATTGTGTCTGAGTGTGCATGAGTGCATGAGCATGTGTGCACAGATGTGCATGGGTGTGCACAACGTACGTTTGAGGGTCCAGGGGTGTGTGAGTGCACAAGTGGGGGTGTGCAAGTTTGCATAGGTGAACACACATGTATGAGCGTGCCACTTGAGTGGGCACAAAGCACGGGGACAAATCCTGCCAGTGTGGAACCTCGGGCCACCCAGAAGACCTGTCGGGCCAAGGTTCCTTAGGACAGTCTTGGAGTGAAACTCCAGCAGGAGGTGGTGACAAGGACGGTGGGGACACAATTATATGTTAAAAATTAAGACAGACTTTCTCTTTTTTTTTTTTTTTTTTGAGTCAGGGTCTCACTCTGTTGCCCAGGCTGGAGTGCAGGGCACATTCACGGCTACTGCAGCCTCAACCTGCTGGGCTCACGAGATCCTTCTGCTTCAGCCTCCCGAGTAGCTGGGACCACAGGTGCATGCCACCGTGCCCGGCTAATTTTAAAAAATTTATTGTAGAGATGCGGTCTCGCCATGTTGCCCAGGCTGGTCTCAAACTCCTGGGCTCAGACAATCCTCCCGCTTTGGCCTCCCAAAGTGCTGGGATGACAGGCGTAAGTCCCCACGCCTGGTCAGGCGTAAGTCCCCACGCCTGGTCAGACAGACTTTTTCTCACTGAAATAAAGGTTGATCTGGGGAACTGATCAGACCCTCAAGTCACACCAAGATAGGAATGGTACTGGGTGGTCACAGAATGCTGGGAAAATACCAGGCAGCAGACAAAAAAAATCCCATGACCAGCCAAGGGGAAATTGTTTACAAACAGTTACAAAGACAAAGAGCCCATAAGGTCATGGAAAAAAAAAAACCGTATGTGGTCACACTGGCTAAGACCAGCTGGATCCAACATGGCGACCCCCAGGCTCATTACACTTTTGTTAAATACTAAATGAGGCACCCACCCACGCCACGACAGGTCCTGTTTTGCCTACTTAAGGATAGAGAATGAGAGGGCACCCATTTCTGGGAAATCCCTGCCTCTATCCAAGAAAACCCATGACCATTCTGCCCCTAGTTAGAGACAGTCACAAAAGAAAACCCAAGCCCCACTGACCAACTCTCTTGAATCCACCCACATGGCCTCTCTCTGGAGCATGAGTCAGTGCACACATCTGTACACACTGACATCCACTCACACACTCATCTGCACTTTGCTTTGCAATAAACCTTCTTTGATTTTGCTTCACATCAACTCGTCCTGAATTCTTTCTCATGACGGTGTCAAAAACCCGAGTACGGGGCTGAGGTGGAGGGATGCCCTTGAGACTTAAGACCCCAGGGACCACCACCACGAGCCCCGGGCCACACACACCTCTCATCCACGTTGGCGGATCCCAGTACGAGGAGCCCCCCGGGTACGCCCCGAGCCCAGAGGCTCAGCTGAGCAAACAGGTAGGCGAGGACCATCCTGACTCGGGCCTGCAGGATGCGAGGGAGATGTGGAGGTTACCCGGAGGGGACATGTGGGGGCAAGCCCGAGCCCCAGGGTCCCACCCTGGCGCAACAGAGAGGGCTTCCTGGACACCTCTGGAGCTCAATAAAGTTAAATAACTCAGAGTTCCTTGGGGACATGAGTGCAGACCTCCAAGCCTGGGGACGTGTGAGTACAGATGTCCGCAGGTGTCCTCTGGGCCTGCCCCTCCACCGGCTCACACCAGTTCGGCAGGACCTGGTCTTCAAGACTGGAGGACCCAGAGCTTGGGAGCACTGGTGGCAGGACAGGCCGTGGGTGGGTGGGGAGAGCCTGACCACCTCGTTTCACTCTCCTGACCACTGGTGTTTCTAGAGGAGGGGAGAGGCGACCTACACATAGCGGAGCAGGGACAGAGAGGGACAGGACAGACCCTGGGAGCCGAGCTCAGGGCCTCTTCTCCCTCCCAACCTCCCAGGACCCAGCCAACTGGGGACAGGGCAGCGTCTGGCTGCTCCCCAGGGATTAAAGAAACACCCACGCACACCTATGCACCATCCCGTGCACACTTGTAGGCAGGCAAGTGTTCAAACATGCACACGCACAATCCTGGACAGTCATGCACTCACCCATCTGTACACACGTATATTCACACTCACGCGCTATTGCGCGCACACTTGCAACACATGCTCATACTCCCAAACAGCTGTGCACTCACATATCTGTGCACACTCACAACCACACTCACACACTATCACGGGCACACTTGAAGGCATGCATGTAGTCGCACATGCTTACTCCCGAACAGTTGTGCACGCACACATCTGTGCACACACATATTCACACTCATGCACACTCACACACTAACGCATGCACACAAGCAGGGGTGTGTGTGCTCACACTCCTGAACATTCATGCATTCACACATCTGTGCACACTCGCATCTACACCCACACTCACGCACCGTCACGTGCACACTCGCAGGCATGCGTGTGCTCACACCCACCCTCCTGAACAGTCATGTGTTCACACATCTGTGCACACTCACACCCACTCACACAGTCACATGCACACTTGCAGGCATTGTGTGCTCACACTCCTGAACATTGACGCAATCACATATCTGTGCACACTCTTACTAGTGTGTACTCATACTCACACCCTCACGCTTGTGCACTCACACACCCCTGTGCCCGCACCTCACTTACACTTGTGCACACCCACGCACACCTGCGCACACATGTCCATGCACCCCCACGTACACTCATGCACACTCACACCCTTGGGCCCTTTTACCTTCACACACACACCCTCACACTTATCCTCATATTCACACTTGTGCACTCACACACACACCCATATACCCCTAAACTCTCATAGTCATGTACACTCACTCTCGCACTCAGGCACACCCCCAGCCTACACACCCCACACTCTGGCGCGCGCACACACACACACACACACACACACACACACACACACAGAGTCATATACCAAAACAGACTCCAGCCTTGTCCTCGAGGCCACGTGACCCGCATCCAGCGAGGCGCACAGCAGTCGACCCCGCCCAGCCGTCGGGATGACGCCCGGCGGACACACCTGCACGTTCTGCAGCGCCAGGTTTTCCCTGCTGCTTCCGCCGTGAGCCGCGAACAGAGGGTTCCTCCCTGTCACCAGGCTAAAGATGCCCACGACGGCCTTCATGGCCGGGTCGATATTGACACCGATGTGATGGCTGGAGGGAAAAGGGCAGGAGTGAAACACACGTGCCACAAGAGTCACCACCATTGCTCGTTAGAACCTATAACCCGGGGATAGCAGCTTCCCAGAGCCCTGTGGCCACTACCACCCAGCTCAGAACTTCCTCATCATCCAGAGGGAAACCCCATCCCCACGGACAGCCGCTCCTCACTCCTTCTCCAGCTTCTGACAGCCACCAAGCCCTATGCTGTCTCTGTGGGCTCCTAGTTCTGGGCATTGCATAGAAGTGGAGTCAGACATGATATGGCCTTTGGAGACGGGCTCTCTTCACTCAGCATCCTGTCCTTGGGGTTCACCCCATGGTGTCATGTGTCACAGCTTCATTCGTTGTTTTTTTGAGTTAGGGTCTCTGTGGTCCAAGCTGGAATGCAGTGGCACAATCATGGCTCACCATAGCCTTGATTTCCTGGACTCAGGCGATCCTCCTGCCTCAGCCTCCCGAGTAGCTGGGACTACAGGCATGCGCTACCATGCCCGGCTAATTTTTCAATTTTTTTGTAGAGATGAGGTCTTGCTATGTTGCTCAGGCTGGTCTCAACCTCCTGGGCTCAGGAGATCCTCCCGCTTCAGCAACCCAAGTAGTAGCTAGGACTACAGGTGTGCACCACCATGTCCAGCTGATTTTTTTTTTTGAGGTGGAGTCTCACTCAGTCGCCCAGGCTGGAGTGCAGCAGCATACTCACAGCCACTGCAGCCTTGACCTGCTGGGCTCAGGGGATCCTTCCGCCTCACCGTTCCAAGTAGCTAGAACCACAGGTATGCACCACCATGTCTAGCTAGTTTTTTTGATTTATTGTAGAGACGAGGTCTCGCCAAGTTGCCCAGGTTGGTCTTGAACCCACGGTCTCAAGCAATCCTCTCACCTCAGTCTCTCAAAGTGCTGGGATTATAGGCGTGAGCCACCACGCCCGGCCAGCTAATTTTTAAAATTTTTTTTTTTTTTTTTGAGTTGCAGTCTCACTCTGTCACCCAGACTGGAGTGCAGTGGCTGCTCCTGGCCATCACAGCCTTGACCTGCTGGGCTCAGGCAATCTTTCTGCCTCAGCCTTCCAAGTAGCTGGAACTACAAGCGTGTGCTACCACGCCCAGCTAATTTTTGATTTATTGTAGAGATGAGGTCTCGCCAAGTTGCCCAGGCAGGTCTCGAACCCGCGGACTCAGGCAATCCACTCACCTCAGCCTCCCCAAGCAAGGGATTACAGGCTGAGCCACCGAGCCCGGATGATTTTTAAATTTTTTGTAGAGACAAAGTCTTGCTATGTTGCGCAGGCTGGTCTCGACCTCCTGGGCTCAACTGATCCTCCCACCTTGGCCTCCCAAAGTGCTGGGATGACAGGTGTGAGCTGCCATGCACGGCCACAGACACACATTTAAACACCAATGCAGTCACAAGTGGAGCTCCTGGCGGCTCTGACCTCTGTCACAGCTGCCTGCTGTATCCAACAAGGGGATCAATTCTACCTTCCGATCTGCTGTGCCAATTCCCTGGCCCGGGTGCACGTCTCCTGGGAGGAGTTCTCGCTGGCCATGTAGCAAGTGGTCAGTATGCGGCCACAGAGCTCCTGGGGGTCCTGGGGGCTATAGTCGACCTGGCTCACGATGGTCCGGACATCAGTCAGCACTTCCTGATCTGAAAACCATCAGGTCAGAACCGTGAGTGCCAGTGGAGTGTTCAAGGCGCCCGCCGTCCCGGCCCAGTCCACAGCCCTGGGAGCCCACCTGCCCCCATCCCAGCCCCCAGTGCCCGCTGGGCCCCATTGCAGCCCACAATCCCAGGTGCCCGCCTGGCCTGTCCCAGCCCCTGGTGCCCACCAGGTGCCAGCCCAGCCCATGTCCCAGCGACCCTGCCAAGCACCATTGTCCCATATCTTGATGCACACTCCGTGGCTACAATCATGTCACAGCCCACAGGGGGAGGCCTGAGCTTCCAGGGCCCGTGTTCATTCCACGGGGCTCCATTGTGAACACGTGGCGGGCAGGAGTGGCTCGGGGACGCAGCCACATGGGTTCAGAGCCCCAGGAAGGGATTGATGGCCTGGCTATCCCTGGCCTGCAGGCCCTGGCATGGCACTGGGACATCCAAGCACGGCCGCCAAGCCCCCTCCCCTGTGATGCCCAGGGCCAGGTGTTCCCTCCGCCTCCACCTCTCCCCTCTGGCAGCCCACGTGCCACCCCCTCCCCCGGGACCCTCCCCGGGACCAGCGTCACCTACTTCCACTCCTCACGGCCTCGCAGACCTGGCAGCACATGGAGAAGACGAGGCAGGCGGTGGCCGCACTGTCCACGCCACCACTGAGGGGCAGGAAGAACCCGGCCTGCAAAGGGCCAGCCAGATAGGGGTGAGCAGAGCCCAGGAGGAACAGGGCTCACAGATCAGCCCGGCTCTCCGAGGAGGGGAGGGCGCCCACAGATACGCGTGTGGGTGTCGGCACTTTCCGGGGGTGTGCAAGAAAAAAGCCCATAAGTGCCAGCATGAAATAATTTTCTAGAGAGAAAGGACCTTCACCATGGGGCGTGTCTAGGCGGACACTCCACCACGGAGTCCCAGACACACCCGGTGACAGGCTAAGGAGAGATGGTGAGTCCCAGGACCCTGAGTGTGTCAAGAGAGAGGCTCAGCTGGACTCCAGGACAGAGCCACGTGTGTGTCAGGCTGGCCTCTGGCTAGAGTGGACTCAGCTTCCCTCGGAGGTGAGGGATGGCATGCTTCTACTGTTTGCATTAAAAAAAAAAATTGGTCAGAAGTGCTGGCTCAAGCCTGTCATCCCAGCACTTTGGGAGGCCAAGGTGAGAGGATTGCCTGACCCCGGGGTTTGAGACCAGCCTGGGAAATTGGCAAAAACTCATCTCTACAATTAAAGAAAAAAAAAAAAGGTCAGACATGGTGGCTCAAGCCCGTCATCCCAGCACTTTGGAAGGCCGAGGCGAGAGGACTGTCTGAGCCCATGAGTTCAAGGCCAGCCTGGGTAACATGGTGAGACCTTGCCTCTATAGTAAATCAGAAAATTAGCTGGACGTGGTAGTGTGCGCCTGTAGTTCTAGCTACTTGGAAGGCGGAGGCAAAAGGATCGCCTGAGCCCAGCCGGCCGAAGCTGCGGTGGCCGTGAGCATGCCACTGCATTCCAGCCTAGGCAACACAGTGATACTCCAACTCAAAAAAAGAAAGAAAGAAAATCATGCTGGGTGCAGTGGCTCATGCCTGTAACCCCAGTACTTTGGGAGGCCAAGGTGAGAGGATTTCCTGAGCCCAGATATTTGAGACCAGCCTGGGCAACTTGGCAAAATCCCGTCTCTACATTAAAAAAAAAAAAGTTAGCCGGACATGGTGGTGCAGGCTTGTAGTTCCAGCTACTCAGGAGGCTGAGGCAGAAGGATCGCCTGAGCCAGGAGGTCGAGGTTGCAGTGAGTGTGTGATTGTGCCACTGCACTCCAGCCTGGATGACAGAGTGACTCCCATTAAAAAAAAACAAACAAACAAGTAACACAAGAAAACGGGCATCTCACCTGTCGGCTTCGTCTTAAGAAATCCCAGAGCCAGCAGGCAGGTCCCAAGCTGCAGAAGGATCAGAGCATGGAGTCTGGAGACAGGGGCCTCACACACCAGCCCTCGTCACCACCCCCCCCCACGACCAGGGGCAGGTCCCAAGGGGGAGGCGGGGCTAGAGCCCATGGCTGGGCACTGGTGGCACACCTGGTCTGTGTAGTTGTGCATTTTAATTCTGAAAACAGCCCTGGGTGGTAGGCATTACCACTGTCCCTAGTTTACAGCAGGAACACAGAGACCCGAGAGGGACAGTGCCTGAGTGCCCGAGGTCCCAGCCCAGGAAAGCAGTGGAGCCAGGGGCGACTCCAGGTAGTCTGGTGTCGCCCCCATGCCCTGGGTCCAGCGAGGCACAGCCGGCCTCCCCAGCTGGTTCCCTTGAGGCCAGGGGTTCGAGACTGCAGCCCCGGCTGGGTATAGGGCAGGGTTGCCAGGCCCACAGGGTCCACCCGTGGGGTCATCAAGAACCGCACACCTTATCTCCTCCTCGGGACTGTGGTACCTCCACTCAACGGGCTCAGAGGTGGGCGCCAGCAAGTCCTCGCTGTGCGACAGGGTAAAGTCCACTTTCACGCGTGGGTAGGGGTTCACCCTGCTGGCCTGTGGATGGACGTTCCCACAAAATGATGCCTCCACTCCGAGGAAACCCCCAGGGTTCCTGGGGCCCATGGGAGTATGGGACGTCCACTGCCTCTGGGAGGTGTACCCCAAAACACCACAAGGTACCCTCAAACCCACGGGGACAGCTCGAACCATGACAGTGACTAGTGTCGGCGAGGACATGGGGACACGGGAACACTCGTGCCATGCTGGTGGGGATGGGCAATGATGCAGCCATGTTCGAAAACAGGCTGGCAGCCCCTTGTGAAGCTCATCGTGGGATCACCACAAGGCCCAGGGAGTCCCAAGATAAATGAAACCGTGTCCACTGAAAACCTGGTGTGAACCGGGTTCAGTGGCTCAGCCTGTAATCCCAGCGCTTTGGGAGGCTGAGGTGAGCGGATTGCCTGAGCCTGCGGGTTCGAGACCCACCTGGGCAACTTAGCGAGACCTCATCTCTACAATAAATCAAAAAATCAGCCGGGCGTGGTAGCGCGCGCCTGTAATTCCGGCTACTCGGAAGGCTGAGGCGGAAGGATCGCCGGAGCCCAGCGGGTCGAGGCTGCGGTGGCCGGGAGCGGCCGCTGCACTCCAGTCTGGGCGACAGAGTGAGACTCCAACTCAAAAAACAAAACAAAACAAAACCAAAAAACCTGGTGTGTGAAGGCCTGCGGTAGCCACGAGCGTGTCACTGCACTCCAGCCTGGGACAGAGTGAGACCCCGACTCAAAAAACAACAGCAACAGCAACCAAAAAACCTGGTGGGCGAGTGTTCACAGAACACTGTTCACAGACAAAAGAGGAAACGGGCCGGGCGAGTGGCTCATGCCCGTCATCCTAACACTTCGGGAGCACCAGGCGAGAGGCGCACCTGAACTCAGGGGTTCGAGGACAGTCTGGGCAACGAGGGGGAGACCTCATCTCTATGATAAATTAAAAAAAAAAAAGCCGGGCTCGGTGGCTCAGCCCATAATCCCGCGTCTTTGGGAGGCCGAGGTGAGTGAATTGCCTGAGCCCGCAGGTTCGAGACCCACTTGGGCAACTTGGCGAGATCTCATCTCTACAATAAATTAAAACATCAGCCGGGCGTGGTAGCGCACGCCTGTAGTTCCGGCTACTCGGAAGGCGGAGGCGGAAGGATCGCCGGAGCCCTGCGGGTCGAGGCTGCGGTGGCTGGGAGCGGCCGCTGCACTCCAGTCTGGGCTACAGAGTGAGACTCCAACTCAAAAAAAGGACAAACACATGGACTTCGCAGCAACTTGGATAGATTTGGAGTCGATCATACTCAGTGATCTATCCCAGACCAATAACCGGACCTTGAAAAATGATAAAAGTATAAGAAAGGGATTGGCAGTCATGGGAAACTGCCAGGGGAGGGGGGTGGGATTGGCAGTTGAGGGAAACCGCTGGGGAGGGAGGGGCATACCTCATCAGAAGGGTACCTGCATAATCAACGTTTGTATACCCAGTCCTGAATTGTACCCCACTTCTTCATAATAATAAAAAAGAGAGGAATTCTTCCACATGCCCATCGAGGGCAAATGGGGCATACGGTCCCTCCATCCACGGAAAATTATCTGACAACATGAAGAAGCGGGTGGCAGTTGACTCTCGGCATCCCTAAGCTACAAGTTTGCAGATTCAACCACGCCTAGAGAGAAAACGCCATCTTCAAGGTCATAAAACCCACAGACACGGAGGTCCGCCTTCTCCTCACCGTGGGTCCTGCAGGCGGACTGTGGGACGTGAGCGTCGTGCATTGTGGGGTCTGTGGGAGACCGGGGCCCAGAACCAGCCTGTCACCAATACTGGGGACGAGGGTTCTGACAACACGGATGGGCCTCGTGGACAGCACGCTAGGTGAGGGAAGCCGGACTCAAGGTCACGCGTTGCTGGACTCCATTGCTACCAAGTGTCCAGAGGGGCGATTCCAGACAGACAGTAGATGTGTGGGTGTGCAGGGCTGGGGGAGGGGAGTGGGGCAACAGCTTTGCGGGGACCGAGCTCCTTCTGAGGGTACTGGAATGGTCTAACGCTGACTGTGACGATTTCGACTGCAGAACTCCACAAATACACTAAAAATCACTGAAGCGTGTGCTTAAAATGGGTCCATTGTGTGGCTCAGAAGACATAACTCCATAAAGCTGTTGTTTAAACAAAAAGGAGGCTGGACGCGGTGGCTCACGCCTGTCATCCGAGCACTTTGGGAGGCCGAGACGAGAGGACTGCCTGAGCCCAGGGGTTCAAGACCAGCCAAGGCAACTTGGCAAAGACCTCATCTCGAGTCGGGCTCGGTGGTTCAGCCTGTAATCCCACGCTTTGGGAGGCTGAGATGAGTGGATTGCCTGAGCCCACAGGTTCGAGACCCACCTGGGCAACTTGGCGAGACC